CGTTATCGTCGTCGTCATCGTCGTCGTCGCTGTACTAGTCCCGAGCCCGTAAGGACCTCAATACAAAAAATATAAAAAAGATATAGGTATTTGTATTTAAAACAAAAGAGATCGCCAAATAGTACATAAAGGTCCATGCCACATATCTATATATCTATATATATATATATATATACAGGCTGTACTTGGGATTCAACCACACATGCATTGTGAAGGTGCTGGTGCGAAGATCCGCTTAGCTCCTCCATTTGAAGGCCGGGCAACAGGTGCGAATACCGTACCGCAAAAGCAGCAGCAGTCGTTCGCACCGTCAGGGCGAGCTATGCAGCTCAACATCAGACGTCAGGCAGCTAAGGCGCACATGATTTCCCAGACAGTGTAGCACTGCTGCGACGCATTTCAATGCGCAGGGCTTCCAGAGTGCCAAAGATGCTGGGCAAGCCCCGAAGCGCAACAAGAACAAAAAGAAGAAGAGGGCGTCCGGGCAGGGAAAGGGAATTAATTGTATCCAAGTTCTGTAACATGCAAGCTATGGACAATTCGGCATGGATAGACTTGTCGTGTCAGGTACCCGTGTGATGCTTCAGGTTTGGGAGGACTGTGTTCCGAAGTGTTTTTTTGCATATGTTGGGGTCAGCGTGCAACTGTGTTTTGTTTGCTTGCCCATTCGCAAACGGCCGGACCACTCCAGCATACTCCAGCTTTCGGGCTAGAGCCTCCGTTCTGATGCGAGGTTCAGATAGTTTCCCCTACCTATTACTCACAGAAAAGCGCCGCCACCTTTTCCACACGAACTTGTCGCAGAGGTTTGGGACTGCCTCGGGCATTGATAGCGGTCGGTTGAGGTGCAGCCGAAAACAGAATCTTTATAGTTTCACTGACTCCTGTGCATCATGGAAAGTAACACGAAGGCAAGGGTAGACACAGGCTGCACACACTCCTTCGATCTCTCGAAACCTTCACGTCATGGCTTGGCTCCCGGTGAACAAATACGCGATCAGGTCACAAAACCGAATGCCACAACCTCCACTTTTGACAAGCGCGAGCGGGGCTAGGAACCAGTGAACCGCACTGGCATCATTCGCCGCCCTGCGAGTGCTTCGGGGTTGACCGACGGCCAGGAGAGTTTTTGGCTGTGGCGGGCCACGAGTGCCCTTCGAGAGGCAGTAAAAAGGCGCAGGGGGGCAACAAATGTTTCGGCTCGTGGTTCGGAGTCTTGCACATGGCCCTGCGTGCAGATGAGGAAGGACTCGGGACCGGTCACGAACACCATCAGCACAGAACGTTTTCCATCACAGGCTATTCTCTCCCCGATGCGCACGCTTCGCGGGCTACGTTTTGTACCTTTCAAACCGCATTGCTTCGTCGTTGGGTTCTCGCTAGTCAAATTCTTCGTGATTCTTCGTGGCGGCGAGTTTCACGGGGTGGTATCCCTAGAATTCGTGTCAACTTCTTTGTGGCAGCACTCGGTCAGCACCGCAGTGGCCCACGGTTCGGTCAACTTTGGCGCTTTCTCACGCGGTCTTAGTTGCACGCTTCGAGTATGTCTTCGTGGTGCTGAGTGTTTACCGCGGTGGTTTTTCCAGGGTTCGCAGCTTTCTCCGATTTATTCGCGGCAGCAGTATCTACCCGCTGTGGACCGCCCATTCTCGCAGTCAATTTCTTCGTAGTGGTGTTTTGCCAATGCTTTAGAACTTTAGGCATTTCCGTGTCCTTGTTCGTATTATTATGTTGCTGTTTGTTGTGTTTTATGGCATTATTTCTGTGCTGGTAAAAATTTGCCTTAAGCTGCCGGGTCGGAGATGACACTGTTGTTTGTCCGGGCTCCCTCGTACAGTCCTCAACTCAATGCAATGTCAACTCAGTGCAGGCAGGTTTCGTCAGTGATGTACATGAGCAAACATATGACGGAAAGGGGGCGGAGGGGAGGCAGACTTGCGCACTGCCCTCCCGAGGCGACAAAGAAGGTGTCCGAAAAGAAAGTACCAGCTCCAGCCCCTGCGCCCCCAGCTCCCGTGGAAGAAGTCGTGGAAGAAGTCGATGTCGATGTTGTCGACACCAAGCTGCAGCATGTATGTCCATGAGCTTTCGAATGTCATGACGAGGAAGGCGCATGCAGCGGCCTGCATCAGTATGTGCACGCATACAGCATGTAGGATGATGTGTAATCATAAGGACCCCAACGAGTCAGACGAAGATCGCGAGTTCCGAGAGCGCACCTGGGCTTCAGGATTTTCCGGGCTTCCAGATGGTTTGGTGATTCCTTGTTTGTTCTTGTGGGCAAGTGTAGGGATCGCTTCGTACCAACATCTGCGGGAGCACAGCGCCGCCTCAAAAAACAAGGATATCTGTCAGCCGAGAAGGAAGAAATGCCAGACTGGCAAAGCGAGATGAAAGCCGCGAAGACCAAGGAGTGTCAGAATTTGGCTTTTGCAAGACGGGCTGCGAGAAGAGGTTTGGTCAGTCAGCAAATCGTTCTGAGCCCAAGCCGCCAGGAGGAACGATTCAAGGCCCAATTGCACGGGCTGTCGCGTTGTCCTGCTGGTTCTCTGTCACTGGCATTGGTATGATCGGAGGTGTTTGCAGTCTGTTGTGTGTAGCGGCCAAGCGCCGTGTGTACAGGTGATTATCCAGTGTACGGCTGCATGACATGCATTTCTGCTACTTGCACTCACATGTTGCAGAGTGGCATCCCTGCGGGTGCAGGTTGGCTTGCGAGTGGGCGACTTCGGAACCAGTTACCAGAAGGCAAATCAGTCCCGCGCACCGTTAAAGCAGAATACTTCCGCTGAGGCTATACAATTCTTTTCCAAGAATTGATTTCGAGTTTTGTCTCCGGAGACAAGGAGCCCAAGAGCGTAGCCCACCGAGTGAAGCTACAGTGGGAAGCCTTGGCTTTCCTCAAGCGACAGTACACTGCCACCAATACACCAGGAGCAACTGGATGATTTTCTTATGGACGTCGGGATTGCGCAATGGCAGCTTGCCCTCATCCAAGTGGCCTGGCTCGACTTTGGCTTTTTTTTGTGCGAAATAAAGATTTCGGCCTTCAGGTACTGCTTCAGGCGCTAACCACTTCAACCTTGACAATTGACCCAGCTTGAGCCAAACTCGTTGAAGCAAGTTTTTTTTGTTGGTAAAAAAAGTTGTTGCCACAAAATGCTAGAGCCAGGAAATTGGAAGAGTAACACAGCACAGCTATGCTGCTATTGCGTGGCCATCATGTTAACCGCGACAACATTGGGCCGACATCTTTGGCTCATGATTCTTGAACCATCTTCTGCCTGTTGTCGCCGCATGTGACATCGTGCAGGTGGTCGTGCTGGCCTTCCCCCTGGCCATCATCACCTATTTTCTGGGCTTGTGGAAATTCTGAAGGATCCGCACACAAAGGCTGCAGGAAAATCTGCAGCAGATGTGGAGCATCGGCCGTTCGACAGTGTCAAAATCAGTTTCATGAGGGTTTCCGATTAGTGACTAGCGCTGTGCCGGCGCGGGGAAAAAAGATTCAAAGGACGTTCAAAGCTTCGTTTTCGATGTTTCATGATGAAGGTCATGAAGAGGAGCACAGACTCGGCTGTGTCTTTGCTACATCGAGCAATGTTCTGTGTACATGTAGTTTCTGAGTTGCGGAATGAGTTGCTTTATGCGATGTTAGCAATGGCATACTGGATTGCTCAGGGTGCCGTGGTGGCTCGAAAGCTCAAAAAGTGGTTTGCTTTCGGAACAGAGGTGTGACTTTCCATTTGAGCGCTAACATGCAGTCTAGTCCAGAAGCCTCTTTCATCGACGGCTGTCACCACAACACGAGCCTTACGCCCGCTGCTGCCATGTTGTCGAAGCCCAGCGCACCTGCGACATTTTTTCCTTACAGTCCTGGTTCGAGTGGCTTGCCGAATGCACCGCTGGGTCCATTGCCATCACGGACGAGAGGTGGGAGCACGCTCCTTCGGTGTGCTGCATGCATCGAGCAGGGCCGGAACGTCCGGGACCAGTTAGCACGGTTTGCAAACGTCTGCCAGGTGCTGGCCGAGTCTTTTGCAGTCTTTTCGAGAAGAGTCATGAGCTGAGGTCATGCTTTGGTGTGGTTTGCCCTTTGGGTCTTCGGCTGTCCGCACGCTTTTCGCGTACCAGGACTTGCCTGAAAGCCGCTTCAGATCAAGCTTCAAGTTGATCGCCTCTACAACTCTACAACCTATAACTGTAACCTCGAACACCACTTAATCTGTCTGCTGCTCTCAAGTCCCGGTCGGCGGCTACACACACATGCGCACACGCACACGCACACACACACACACACACACACAGAGATCGCAGTTTTCCTCTGCCGTGCCCAAGCACCACTCCTTGAAGCATCTCGCCGCAGGAGCCCTCGCAGCCTCAGGATGTCTTCCGTGTCTGGGTCGTCTGGGGGCGTTGAGATTTGGCGGGCGTTGCCTGAGCAGATACCTGCCAACTTCGATGAGCAGCTCAGCTTATCAGTTCCGTCGCAGAAGCATTCATTTGGCGCGCGGAGGTTGTCAGGTTGTACGTACAGGCTAGGTATGTCCATGCTCGTGCGATGGTTTGCAGACGATCAGAAAGAGAAGTTCTGAGAAGGTTTACCGTACCAAAGAACGAAGGTGCGGAGCAACAGCTGTTTTAGCCTTTGCAGCCTCGCGGTGATGTGAACTAACAACGAAGCTTCTGGGTTCGGGTTTCAGGGCCCTTGCAGCCTTAGTCTTCGTACCTGGCTCGCCGAGGATGATGAGAAATCGCTATAACGACATAGTCAGAGAAGAGTTGGATGGGACCCCTTTTCGGACACTGGCTGTCATGCGGGTTCCCATTGATTCGGTTCCCGATGTGGGCTTCAAAAGCGACTTCTCGTTTCAGCGTGGCTCCTTGCAGCATTCGGCTGTCCTTCATGCTGAGCGGGAGCATGGCGGCTTTGTCGGATGTGCTGTCAACATACCAAAGGCCGACTATTTGCCGAGAGGGTGTGTTGGGGCAGAACTTCTTTCGGTGACCCAGCAGGAGAACAATATTGTTAAGGTAACACTTCGTGGTGTTGCGATGTTGCGTATCATCGACCGTGTCTGTGGGCCTGACGACAACGGTCGTGTTCTTCCCATTGTACAGGAAGTTTTGGAATGCGGTGATCTAGAGGAGAAACAAGGATCAGAAGCTCTGGCACAAGAAATCAAGCTCGTGGAAGATCTGTTTGTCGCATGTGGCGAACTCCAGAGATCGACGGGCATTTGGGCAGCCGGAGACCTTGCCTCAAGGACGGTCGCCGACATGACAGCTGTCTCAATGCAGACAGTGGCCGACGTGCAGTTGTCGGGTGTAAGCTCAGAAGAGCAGCGATGGCCAGTGTTAGCGAGCCATGCTGCTATTTCGACCTTTTCTGCTGCGAAAAGGTCTGAATTTTTGTGCGATCCGAGCTCGACACTGCGGCGGATTCGTTCACTTAGCAAATTTTTGAAGTTAATGCAGCGTGTCTTGACGCAGAAGCTGCTCGCAAAGAAGGCGTGAGCGGAGAAAAGACGGTGTCAATTTGGTTGCGCATTGCGGTTTCTCGTGAAGTAAACTCCTAGTGTTTTGCGAAAACATTCCTCAAACTTTCGGAGCTTTTGCATGCTTTGGCGACGCCGCCCCTTCAACTAGACTCATGATTTGCTTTTTCTCTCTGTTGAAGCTCTGCGCTAGCGGTCCTTGCGTCATTTATTTTCTTGTTTATTCGTGAGCGCCGTTCAGGTTCAGTGCCCAGCCTGGCATTCAGAATGCAGCGTTGGACAGAAACCCCTTCGGCTAAGTGTTAGATTGGCCGTCTGGAGCAAAGGGTTGTCAGGTGTTGTTTTCACAGACTCACCGCGAACATTATTTAATTGTTGTCCTGCTTGTCATTCTCCGTGTGAACCCGGGGCAGACATGACGGGATCTTCCTACTGCGAGAAGATGCTAGAAGCAAATTCCCACGGTATCCAGTTGGGAGGCCCCAGAGACCCACCTGCCGGCTCCCGTCCTAGTGCATCCACTGTCGCCGACTTTGTTTATTAAGCGCACACGGCTGATCCCCACATGCACCACGCCTTAGCAGCTGTAGCACTTTATGAAGGACACCTTGTTTGAGCAATGGGCAACCGATGCGTTTGCCTGCACACACAGGACGGACGTGTGGTGCGCAAGTCGCTGTTTCCAGATGTTTTGGGAGGAACTCCAGGTCTGAGTTGAGGTGTGACGACTAGTACTACCACCTCGCTACTGCTACTACCTCTGCTACTGCTACTGCTACTGCTGCTGCTGCTGCTGCTGCTACTGCTACTGCTACCTGCTACTGCTACTGCTACTGCTACTGCTACTGCTACTGCTACTGCTACTGCTACTGCTACTGCTACTGC